ATAATTAAGCGGTTCCAAACAATTAAAACTTTCTATGGAAAAAATGATTATCAGCTTCAAGAATTTTTAGAAAGCGTGGAAAATACAATGTTACTATGTTCGGATAATCCTGAACTTCAACAATTCGGACTGATGATTGTAACCACAGAGAAATTGCAAGGAGATGCAAAGAGATGTGTTCAACTTATGGGATATAAGCCAACGTGGGAAGCGATTAAAATCAAATTAACAACTCATTTCCTGCCCAGGAAAAACTACATGACGGTAATGGACGAGAGCAAAAATCTAAAGGTAAATAATTTAAGAGAACTATTTAATAAAATCGAAAAAATTAATTCTGAATTATACCAAATATATCAATATGATAAAGAAAAACCTGAAAACTTCAGTCCAGTAAATAACGAAAAAAATTTAATTGCTAACTCTGCGGTAGTTATAGATCTTTAATTGACAACAAAAGTAGTTTAATAGAAGTAATAAACAAGTTTGACCAATTAGGATTACTAGACGAAAGCGACGTTATTCATGTTACGTACAGACGTAAACATACAATGCCTTTTAACTCGACATATACAAATAAAAATTTCAAACCTAGTTATCCAAATCAAAATAACTCCTATAACTGTAATTCGGGTCAATACAAACAAAACCCAAATTATAAGAATAATTTTCAAGAAAATCGTTTTCAGCAATATGAGTACCGTTATAACGGACAAAACCATTCTGACTTCAATAAAAACGTAGGTCAATATAAGCAAAATTTAGCTCAGTATAAACCTCATTTTAACCAAAATAATAGACTGAATGGTGAACAAAATAATCAGCACCAAGCAAATTACCAAAAACCTCGAAAGCAAAAATTTGTAGAGCCAATGAATATAAACAATATTCATGAATTGTCTATCAGAGGCTCAGAAGGTAAACTAAGAACAATAAAATTAAATTTTATGGGTCATACTGTTAATTGTCTTATCGATTCTGGATCAACTACTAGCATTATGAGTGTTGAACTTGCAAGTAATTTTCCAGAAATCATTCTAAAAGAACCTAAATTCTTTTCAACATTAAATGGTATAACTAAAATTTCTAAACAAGCAATAACTGCAATACCTAATGAGTTTAATATTAAAGGCACAATTTCATGGAATATAGTAGATCTTAAAAACCAAAATTATGATGCTATAATAGGAGATAATATCTTGAAATCTTGTGGAGCTAAAATAAACTATGAGCATAATAATATATGTATAAATGGACATATTATTATGTTTAATAATCCTTCTGATTTTAAAAATATTTATCAACTAGAATACCTTAATAATTATTGCATCAACAATATAAATTTAGACCACCTGAATTCCGAAGAAAAGCCTAAAATACGTAATTTATTGAAACAATACGATTCATTATTTTTTAAAGAAGGCGATAATTTAACATTTACTCATGAAATTCAACATGAGATAATAACAAATAATGACAGACCTATATATTCCAAAGCTTATAGATACCCAAATGTACACGAACAAGAGATTCAACAACAAATTTCTGATATGCTCAAAACAGGAATAATAACTCAAAGTAACTCTCCATATAATAGTCCTTTATGGATTGTACCTAAAAAGGAAGATAATTCATCCCATAAAAAATGGAGAATAGTAATTGATTATAGAAAGCTAAATGAATCTACTATAAGCGATAAGTTTCCTATCCCTAATATTGATGCAATTTTAGATAAATTAGGTAGAGCTCAATATTTCTCAACAATCGATTTGGCTAAAGGATTTCACCAAATTTTGGTGAAACTCGAAGATCGGAAAAAGACAGCTTTTTCTACCCCATTTGGACATTTTGAATTTTTGAGAATGCCATTCGGACTTAAAAATGCACCATCAACATTTCAAAGGTTGATGAATTCAATCCTAAGCCAATATATTAACAAAATTTGTGTAGTATATCTTGACGATATTCTTATTTTTAGTACTTCTTTGCAAGAACATATTATAAGTCTAAATAAAATCTTTCTAACATTACAAAAAGCCTGTTTGAAAATTCAAGTAGATAAATGTAATTTTTTAAAGAAAGAAACAGAATTTTTAGGTCATATTTTGACTGAAAAAGGAGTAAAACCTAATCCAAAAAAAATTGAAAGTATACAAAATTTAACTCTTCCTCGAACCCAAAAACAAATTAAGAGTTTTCTCGGAATGACAGGTTACTACCGAAAGTATATCCGAGATTATGCAAAAGTTGCTCAACCAATGATTAAATACCTAAAACAAAACGTTAAAGTTAACATTCATGATCCTAATTATATATCAGCATTTGAAAAGTTAAAAGCTCTCATCACAAGCCCACCAATATTACGTTAT